ACTTCACAAAAGGGAAAAGGGGAAATCAGAGCACATGGACAGGCTACTTGGATAAAGAGGACCATAGATAATGGGTTAGCAACATCCAGTTGGCTGCATGTGTTATTTGCTCCTGCTGTACACAATCCTGAGCTCCAGAGCATACTTTGGCACTGCAGCAGGGCGTTAAGTGGCTGAATTCAGACCCTGCTAAGGAAAGAGAAAGCTCCCGAGTGGCAGTGCTGTGCCAAACACAGAAGAGGCACTTGGCATAGAGGGGCCAGTGAAGCCGGTGGTACGAGTGCCCTGTGCTCTTATCTTCAGACCTCCGGTTCTGCCTTGGCTGATTACTGGATTTCAAATGAGAACTAGATAGGTAGCAAACAAAAATGAGGGACATAATTGAAACACAGAAGAGGAAAGAGCAAATTAGTCCCTCCCTGTAGCTGTCCTGGGGGTAGGCCAGGGATACCTACTCCAGGCAAGGCTAAAGCTGGAGAAGAGAAAGAGATTTCTGACTAAGTTACTAGTCAGCTCCTCTTTCCCTTCCTGTAGCCCATTCCAGCTGGCTCACCTTCACTGGCAGATGTAAAATATTTCTGGTCCACTTCTCAAGAGGACTGAGGGAACTCTATTATAAAGAATCAGCATAAACCTCTTGAAGAGAAATAGTCACTGAAGCAGTAAGTAGGCCACATTAACCCATGTGTCCTCTAAAATATGAAGGTAAAAACTAGCATGTAGAAACCAATCGTGGGCTTTAGACGCAAAATATTTCACTAATGTGAAAGCTACAAGAGATGCTATAATCTTTGATTACCCTTGAGGCCATAACAAACTCAGAAGGTAGCACATGAATTGCTGATTATTTTCTATGACGATAGAATCTGAGAAGTTGCTCATTCTGCTTTTGTGCAGACTGGCAGGTCCCTGGCTGTACCACTTTGACTAAATTTGAATCACATAGTGCTGCTCTCATTTGAAGGCCAGGTAGAACACACTGGAGTTTTGAGTTGTTTTTTTTTTCTGGGGAGTATATATACTTTACAGGGAGATGCAGACAACAATCATTAAGTTTGCCTTGCAAGATAAATCCTAGATTTCAGCCACTTCAGTGCTGGAAGGTTACCATGCAACACGATAACCTTCCATGATGTGATCACAAGGCATCCTTTCTTCATTCAGCACACAAAATGGATGACATGAAATGATGAATCAAGGAGGTGTAGAGTAAGAATGATAGAGAAGGTGAAGTTCTGTGATGGAAGCCAGAGAGTGTAAAATTTAAGATTACATAATAAACACACAATGAGGACCACACTAATGTTAACTTGGATTTTCACTGACTTTATGAACTTGATTTTGAATTCTTACAGATCTTGAAATGCAATTATTATGCAAGATGTTACATGTTAAGGAGTCATTAAAGACATTTTAGAGTGCTAAAAAAGAGCTCTACTTAAACAATACCTCTTTGTGTACATCCATTTCAAATTGGAGGTACCAATTTGGGAAGTTCCTATAATGCCGTCTCCCATTCTGCTATAAACAAGAACATTTTAAGTAATACCAGCCAAGAACTTGATTCAAACTGCATTTCAGACAGAGGGGTATGAGTAACTGAGCAAGAGCTTTTAGAACTTGATGCCAGGACAAACATGATGTCACATTTGGATCCAGCAATTCAGGTTCAGGCTGTGACAGTCTGATCATGCCTGTCCTGTTCTGACAAAACTATTTGCTAGTGCTGTGAAAAGACCAGGAAAGAAGAAAGCACCTATTCTGCAATACCGTTCTGCTTGGAATCCTTCATTTTGCCCTTAGAATGCCCCTTTCTGGCTGAACTGTTGAACAAAAAGGCACCCTTACTGAGAAATAAAGGCATGTATCCAAGGAGGTAGTGCAATCACTTCCCAATTAATTTTTCCTATATAATAAGCAAGTCCTAAGGAACAAAGACAAATTTAATTGGGGTGTGAATTGATAAGTACTAGACATACATCCACAGCATTTTTGGAACCATTAATGTTTTTAGGAGAAACAGAAGGGAAGCATTTTAAACTAAATCCCACAATTCCGTCAAGAAAATAAGATATACTTGGGGTAGGCATTTCTCTAAAAAAATAAGAATCAGGGTCTGATCTGTGCTTCATTTGAAAGTATCCCATGTGGAGAGACACAAGTCATCAGAACACTTTCACAAACAAAATGGGAACACCGATGTTGCATCTGGAGCATCACAGGCATTTTCTGAATTGAAAACTGTCAAAGTTAACTATATAAGAAGGGGTTTACCAGAGATTTTAAATATAATTCCATACATAAGACAAGTTCTTTTGGAAAAACTGTAGGGGGTGTTCCTTCGAACATGTTTGTAGCTAATGTATTTTACCTTGTTTTTCCTGTCCTGATTGTTTCTGCATCAAGTTCCTCAGCAGAAACTTTTCAGGCCACTGAAATGAAGTCAGCAATCACCTCCTGGCAAGATTCAGAAAAATGTTTCTGTATCTGACTGCCATTGCAAATGAACAGGTGGATCCAAAGAAGTTTTCTCCTGAAGTTCCCACCTTCCATGAACACATGCAAGCATGAAGAGTGGACCCTGGCATGTGCTGCAGGGTCCCCTCAATACTACTGGAGGCAACGAGATTAAGTGCTGCACCTTAGAGGTTCTACTGTCTACTGTCCTTGAGAAGTCCTCTAGTGAGTGAAGTGCATAGATTTCCTGATTGATCCATAAGGCAAATGATAGCTTTTTTAGTAAGAAGGGTCAAAAAGCTCATCTAATATTCTGTTCCTGCACAAGATGAAAAATTATGGCACTTTGGATGACGCATGCATTATGGGTGAACTGGATTTAGCTTCTACTCACACAAAATTATGTTCTGGAAAAAGTCTTTTTACAAACTTCTACATAGTTTCCCCCCAACATTACAGTGAAAAAGAGAAAAAACCAATATGTACACAAACACAGAAATCTACAGTCGCAAAGGTTGTGCTAAGTTAGAAAGAAAGAAAGTGCATGACAGCTGGTGTTCACTGTGCCTGTCAGTAGATAACCATGAATGATATAGTTTTCCAATGAGCTTTAAAGCCTATTGTAAAAGACTGTTAGTGAAAATCAATACCTGCAAGATAAATGGCGAAGTCTGTGAATTAGAGTAATACTGAACCACTGTTCTCAAAATAGACAGTTTAAACAGGCAGCATCTATGGTGCATAGCAGCATGGGTTTTTTTATAATTATCAAGAATTCCAAGGGAGGAAACAGACATCGAGTTGACAGTATTTGCTGATTACCCCAGGCCTCTTTTTTAATAAAACCTGCAGAAGTTTGGAGAGGAATGACAGGTATGAAGGACAAACACACCCTGGGAATTAGGCAAACGGCATTGTAACTCAAGATAAATGTAAGCTAGCGTACACAGGCAAGACCAGTCTACATATCCAAATTAATCTGTCTCTAGAGGCTACTGCAACTCAGAAATTCAATAATACCACCAGTAAGAAAATAATATTAGTTAACTCTACAACTATAGCATCCCTAAAGAAAAGGTTCTCTGAGTCTTTATATATGTGAAAAAGCTCATCTACAAAACCAGTGCAACTACAAGCAGACAAATTGGTAAAAAAATTCTCAAACACATTAGAAAAAGGATGAAAATAAGTATGAATTGCACCATGCCTAGGAAATTATCTTAAAACTGTACTGAGTTTTGGTTCTGCACTTTAAACATACCTGAATCTTTTTTCTTTGTACACACACATATACCCCCTGAATTGACATACATGCATATCCCCACATCTCCCTCATAAATGCACAATTTTCACATATATGTTCTGCAATGAACTAGTAATATTTATTACTGTTTATAACATGTGTTGGGCTGCTGACATTTTAAAGAAGCTGGCTGATACGCTACCTCAGAACCATCCCACAGCACCACGTGCTGTACCACGAGGCCTGTCAGCAAGATGTATTTACAAGTCATGAAGACAAAAATTCTCTTGCTGTTTTAACTTCAGACAGAAGGTGAGTTTGCAAAAGGAAACACTTGGCAGCGGTTCA